AAAGATATAAACCTGCTCCTTGATCTTAGGAACCGTCATGCAGTATTTGGTTAACAAAATCAATGCAGTTTTGGAAGGTTCAATCCACCATATTGACTAAAAATGGCACCCAAGTGCATAGTGAAAATACAACTTTCCAAAATCTATAATAGATGCAAGCCCTGCAACTGTTGCGGCTGCATTAAAACCAATCTCCCCTCTCTTGCCTTAATTTCTTCTAGCCGAGCCAAGAAGGACATTAACTTGTTCTTATTTTGATTTTATTTCTTCTCAGTTAAAAGTGAGCGTATAAAAGATAATGGTTGCAGTATTCAAGCATATGCAGCAATACACATCTTCTGCAGTTGATTAAGCTCTGGAGCTGAGTCATTTAGTATCCACCAAAACTGTTTATTGTAAGTATTCTTCAAGACTGAAAACACTGTTTTTTAATTATGCAGTTTGGGAAAGAACAGAACTGACACACCACAACGCTGGCATAAATCACAAGTTATTGTTTTCTTCCCTCGTGAGAAACGGGAAATGCAGCTTCGCCCATCTGTATAAACCTTCTTAATGAAGGTTTGCTGTGGACTGAGTCAATGAGAGCCAAAACAGGTTTAGAAACACATAATTCCTGAAGAGTTGCTTCATTACACTGATTAAGAGTGGAACTGGTTGCTGAACCTATTCCTCACTGTCAGAGACCTTACCTACCCTTGAAGATTTCAGTTAGTTTCGGTCTGAATTGGCTATTTCAACTCTGTAAAATGGCTTGTCCCCATAGGGACCCAAAAGGTATGCCTGCCTCTTTGGTTGATGGAGAGGGGAGCCATGTTTATTGTCCCTGCCTCTGGTCCAAACTACCCACTAGCCTGAGTGAGGCAGCTGCCTCAGGCGGCAGATGCTGGGGAGGTAGAAACAGCATTGGACGACAGAGCTCAGTCCTCCAAGATTAGAAGGTGCAGTTTGCCCTGCACCTCCTAAGTTAGCTTGCTGCCTTGAGGTGATTCAAATAAGATTCAGGACACAGCTGCACTGTACATTTAAAGCACTGTGGTGCTCCCTTAACCATTATGGTTTTCCCCAAAGTATCATGGGAACTTGCTAAGAATGATGAGAGTTTTTGGGAGACCTCTAGGCACCTCAAAGAGATACAATTCCCAGATTTCTTCCCTAGGAAGAGGGACTGATTCTTAAATCATTCTAGGAATTATAGCTCTTTGAAGGGAATAGCGGTTACCACTTTAGCACCTTTAACAAAACTGCAATTCTCAAGATTCTTTAGGAGAAGCCATGACTGTTTATCATGGTGGTTTAAGGGTATAGAGCAGATGAGGCCTAAACTAGATGTGAAGTTGGCTCCTGTACATAGAATATGGGCACCATTTTGACCTTCATCTCAGGAAGCAAAATGCTTGTGGCCCGACTGGCCCTGTCTGCTTTCCCCACCCCCACCCCCACCCCCATTTATTGTTTTATTATTAATTTTTATAACGTTGCTTGGTTTGCAAGCAAATGCGTGGGCTAGGACAGCCCAGCAAAAGAATGTTTTTGCAGCATTCTAAATGTGGTAATTACTATTCAAGTCATCATCATCATCAATTTGCATAACATGTCTCTCTTTGCACAATAACACAGAGCAGGGTTATTTGGGAGGAATGGAATGAGAGCAAAAGCTGCAGGGTCACTTAATTCCTTTGGTAGTCCCAAAGAATTCTCTACAAACACAACCCCAACCCCCGTCATTTTCTAGCTACTCTCACAGTCAAACTATAAATCATCCATAGAAATAATATGAGATACTGTAGTTTTGGAGCTGTTTGGAAAGTTTCAGTATATATTGTCCAGGTTTCAGGGAGTTCATGTTGAGATTTCATGATGCATATATCATTTTTGGCAGGGCTGAAGTCTGTGCTAGTTGCTTTTCACAGAAAGAATGAACCTTCCCAAGGCACACAAGTGCAGTAATATTGTCTATAGTATACAGCCTTGTCCATGAATGTTCAGAATGGAACATCCTTTTAACTGGGTGGCTAATATGCCTAGGGCATTTTAATGGTCCACATGAGTGACAGAGAATGTGGACCAGCAGCCACAGGTAGCCTGGATGAGGTCAAACCAACCAATCAGGAGTTGGCCTTGGTAAACTGATTAAACATCTGGAAATGAACAAGGAGATGCCTAGTAGGGCTATCACAATTTATAGACAGTGTAGGATGCTATTTCAGTGGGACAAAGAGAGTATGCCATTCAACCATACCTCATTTGTGATGATCTAGTCACATTTTTAAAATTTTCTGAATAAATATCAAGTTGCAAAAACTCACTAAAATAATAATAGTAATCCTTCCTAGAAATGTGTGGTATTTCTTCCCTTTGCACAAATATGCTTTTAGTGTTCCTCAGATCAAGAGGATTTTTATTTATTATTTCTTTATTTTATTTATATCCCACCTTTCTTCCAAGGAGCTTAAGGTGGTGATACATAGGCTTCCTCTTCCCCATGTTATCCTCACAACAACCTAGTGAGGTAGGCTAGGTTGGGAGGCAGTGACTAGTTCAATGCCACTCGATGATGATGATAATTTATTATTTATAAAGTATTATAAATAATTTATAAATAATAACACTACTCTGGGCGGCTCCCAACAGCATATTAAAAACACGCTAAAACATCAAACATAAAAACTTCCCTAAACAGGGCTGCCTTCAGATGTCTTCTAAAAGTCAGATAGTTGTTTATTTCCTTGACATCTGATGGGAGGGTGTTCCATAGGGCAGGGGCCACTACCGAGAAGGCCCTCTGCCTGGTTCCCAGTAACCTCACTTCTCACAGTGAGGGAACTGCCAGAAGGCCCTCAGAGCTGGACCTCAGTGTCTGGGCTGAATGGTGGGGAGTAGAGACACTTCTTCAGGTATACTGTGCTGAGGCCATTTAGGGCTTTATACGACAGTACCTTTATGGCAGACTGAGGATTTGAACCCTAGTCTCCCAGGTCTTAGTTCAACACTCTAACCACTATACCACACTGGTTTTCATGCAAGTCATGCAAGGATACAAGGCCAACCGTGCTGAGGACTGCTGTGTATCAATGGAGGGCTTATAATCAAATTCAGTTGACTGAAGTGGCAAACCTGCAATCTGTCATCCATGTGAAATATTTGGGATCTTGTTTTCTATGAGGATCAGCTTGTCATATTGAAGAATATCCACCATTGTGGGTAGGGCATACTTCAGACTGCATGGTAGAAGGGGAAAAGCTGAGCTGGTCCTCCACCAGGCTATTACAGTGCTGTTCTGAGTAATTAAAACATGAACGAGAGTGTCAGTGGATGCTAGAAAATGCCGTCTTCTAAAGTGGCTGTATGATTGCACAGCGTAGTAAGGTATCACCTGGTAAATGGTTGTCTTGTGTTTCCCAAATGGACAGATGAAATTGTACTGTGCAGGATCTTTTGGTGTCAGGCTGTGTGGCTTCTCTCTGAAACGACTATGGTCACACCCACACCATTCATTTAAAGTGCTCTTATGCCACTTAAACAGCTGTGGAGATTCCTGGGAACTGTAGTTTGTTAAGGATACTGGGAAGTATAGCTTTTAAGGGCCAACATCCTCAACCAAACTACAGTTCCCAGGAATTTCCATGGCTGTTTAAGTGGTACAGTGGTACCTCAGGTTAAGTACTTAATTCATTCCGGAGGTTCGTACTTAACCTGAAACTGTTCTTAACCTGAAGCACCACTTTAGCTAATAGGGCCTCCTGCTGCCGCTGCGCCGCCAAAGCACAATTTCTGTTCTCATCCTGAAGCAAAGTTCTTAACCTGAAGCACTATTTCTGGGTTAGCAGAGCCTGTAACCTGAAGCGTATGTAACCTGAGGTACCACTGTATAAGAGTGTGGATATGACCTAGATCCCGTGTAAGACCAATGACTTAGAGCTGTTGTTTAAGACATTCTGTAAAAATATCCAGCCTTCCATATCCGGCTTCCCATTTTTACAGCTGTCTAGAATCCCATTTCAGAAATCAGTTGTCATGATTTCGTTGTCAAAAAATGCCAAGCATTTCACAGCCATAACCCACATGCAGCAGTATTAGAGCAGATTTACACTTTGCTGATTAAACCAGGTAGAAAAGGAGCCTGTTTGAGTGGTGAAATGCATGTTCAGCGTGGTGAATATTTAACAGCATGCATGTGATGGAAATGGCTGGGTTTCCCTGCATTAAAAATAGAAGCAGCAATTAGGAGAGGATTATGGCCTAACTTCCATCATTTAATGCAAGGAGACCTGGCTATGCAAGGCTGCATTCCTATACTCACTTTCCTGAGAGGAAGCCCCATTGAACTTAGCAGAACTTACTTCTGAGTTTACACTAGACATCCATAGCAGGGGTGGGGAACCTCAGACCTGGGGCCAAGAGTGGCCCTCCAGTGCTCTCTGTCTGGCCCTTAGAACTCTCTCCAGGCCACACCCCTCAGTGACCCTGCTTCACTCTCCAGGAATTTTGGTCTGGCTGCCCTGTTTTCATGAAGCCTGATATTGCCTTTTGTTTGGATGGAGTGTAGAGAGGGGGTTGTGAGTGTGTGTAGAAACTAGTCTAGTGTACAAAGGTAAAATTTAAATGTCTTGTTTGGTCTCATTTTTGCCTCTGGCATGTGGCACTTGGGAAGTTGCCTGGAAGTGAATGTGGCCATTGGGATGGAAAAAGTTTCACACCCACTCATCTGTAGGATTGTACATTTATTTATTTAACTGCTCTATTTGTGTGTGTCTGCGTCTCTCTCTCTCTCTCTCTCTCTCTCTCTCTCTCTCTCGTGTGTGTGTGTGTGTGAGAGAGAGAGAGAGAGAGAGAGAGAATTATGCCACAGTACAGTAGTTAATGGGAGACTTTCCCCCCTCACACACGTTTTTAATGCCTCTCCTTTGGGGAATGTAATGCAGGCCAAAGAGAGCACCCTGCATTAAATGCCTGCTTAATTTCCTGTTGATTTGTTCATTCTCTCTTCATCCTTTCAGTCAGCGGCATTCAGAAGCATTTAGCCTCTACGTCTTTTCAAGGTCAAGCCCGATGCTAATATGTGCTTGGAAATCACATGCCTCGGTCATATTACATGGCGCTGTGAGGCGGCGAGACAATGCAGCCATGTGCGCAGGGACCAGAGCAGCCTCGCGATGTCACAGCGATGAAGCAACCAAAGACGATCAGCTCTCATGAATCAGACTGCTCCAAGAGGAGGCAGCTCAGTTTGGTCTCCAGACGGTGAGCCAGGCGAGCGGAGAAGAGCTGGGGTTTCTGTCTGCTTTATTTTGTTATCTCTTCTTATTTACAAAATAATAATAATAATAGAAGGAAGCCAGAGATGCATTCTGCCCCCCACCCCCATTTCACTCACTGAGAGATTCATTCTGATGATTTATTTGTATTGCATCTAGAATCCACTTTGCAGTCATTAATTAGTACCCAGGAACTAATTAGTTCTCCAGGTAGGCAAGCTGAGTGGGCAACTTGTGTCAAGCCAGCCTGCGTTTGGCACATAATGTTCCATGACCCTTAGCCAGGAAGGAGCCGTTCGTAGAGAATAGCATCAGATAAAGAGCAATCAGGAAAACAGAATGGGAGATCAATGGTCTACTGAGCCCATTTTCCTCAATGACAGCATTTGTCAGGTCACCCTGGCTTTTGTTGTGAAGCACAGCGATAAAAAAACCAAAATGAAAACAACTATGATGTTAGTTCTGTGTCTTAGACAACAATGTATAGAATGTGAATCAGGGAGTGGAGAGATAATGATGATTACTGTACCATCATTTTACACAGGGCTGCAAGCCAAAAGCATGGATCCCTGTCCCAAGGCACCTCCAGTCTGTATTTCAACAATGTGAGGACCCATATAGGGGGAGAAAGAGGCAAGATAACAACAGATAAATATCAGTGGATACAGTTAGAATCATTGAATTATCGAATTGTAGAGTTGGAAGGGACCTCAAGGGTCATCTAGTCCAACCCCCTGCAATGCAGTAATCTCTGCTAAATCATTCATGACAGATGGCCATCCATCTCTGCTTAGAAACGTCCAAGGAAGGAGAGTCCATCACCTCCCCAGGGAGACCACTCCACTGTCAAACAACTCTGTCAGAAAGTTTTTCCTGATGTTTAGTCGGAATCTCCTTTCTTTGTAACTTGAAGCCATTGGTTCTAGCCCTACCCTCCAGAGCAGAAGGTTGCCTACTCTTCCCTTTCCACCTTCCGCTTCTCATGCAGACATACTCCTTCCTGTGTGGGAATCACTTTCCCAAAGAGGTCACCCATGAAGTCATGATATCAGTTGGAATGCAACTGTCATATGAATGGAGCTGATTGCCTATCCAGTAATTTTCTTCCAGTTTTCTACCCTCTCTCCTGGTAGGATAGCTTTTGGTTGGAATGATTAGGTCTAAGTGGCTACTGTATCAATAGTGTTATAAGAAAAAAACAAAAACCTGCTCCCTTTCCCTTATGGGGTATCCATGAGCCTGTATAGAGTCCTTAAGTAGGTTCTCTGTCGGTAGGAGAAAATAACAGAGGCCAACCAGAGAATATTGAGAAGCAAAGAAGTTAGTAAGCATGAACTTTTATTAAACTGTTGCAACAGGATTCCCCTACTCACCCCACGCAGGGAGGGAGGAGAGGAACCCAGAACAATGGTGTGTAAGCTCTTATATAGACTTTTGAAATTGCCTACCTTGTAGCTCAAGACCAGCTCCCAAAACATCCTACATACGTCACAGAAGGAGGTGGTCTGTAGCAGAAATACATCACAGGGGGCCGGTCTATCACAGAAATCCTGTCTTCCAGGAAACCTGACAATGGTCAATCATTGCTCTATCTCGCAGCCCGGCCATTCTTTTGTGATGATAAATGCTTTAATTCCTGAAACCAGGTCACAGGCTCACCCTATTCATACACACATACGCCCTTAAGAGAGGTAAGCAAAAGACAATGGAGAGGCTTTCCCATTTCCTTCCTCCTTGCAGAGAAATATTTGAGGTCAATTTGGGAGAGTCAAAATGGTTTCAGGATTGCTCTCCTGTCCTATTTCAGACACGTAGTTTATATACTTAGGTATGCGTTTGCCTTGTAAATTTATTAACATGTGATTTATATATACAGTGGTGCCCCGCAAGACGAATGCCTCGCAAGACGGAAAACCCGCTAGACGAAAGGGTTTTCCGTTTTGGAGGTGCTTCGCAAAACGAATTTCCTATGGGCTTGCTTTGCAAGACGAAAATGTCTTGCGAGTTCCTGCAGGGTTTTTTTCCTCCCCCCCCTTTTCCCAAGCCACTAAGCCGCTTATCAGCTGATCCGCTAAGCCCGCTAAGCCGCTAATAGCGCTAATCCGCTAAGCCGCTAATGGGCTTGCTTCGCAAGACGAAAAAACCGCAAGACGAAGAGACTCGCGGAACGGATTCTTTTCGTCTTGCGAGGCACCACTGTATAAGACCTTAGAATTCATATACAGTGGTACCTTGGGTTAAGAACTTAATTTGTTCTGGAGGTCTGTTCTTAACCTGAAACTGTTCTTAACCTGAAGCACCACTTTAGCTAATGGGGCCTCCCACTGCCACCACACGATTTCTGTTCTCATCCTGAAGCAAAGTTCTTAACCCAAGGTACTATTTCTGGGTTAGTAACCTGAAGCGTCTGTAACCTGAAGCGTCTGTAACCTGAGCTACCACTGTAACAATAGACAATATGGGGGAGACCACTGCTGTGGAATGAGTCCCACACAGCCTGGTATTTTTATATGTGATATGCATATGTATTTGGTGTTGTACTCAGGCCTCATTTTCATTATGGAAGAAGACTTAAGGATTATGCCCATTTCTTCTCCCCTCTGCCCTGGAATAGGTTGGTTATGTGAATCTTGCATTCATTATCCTAAATAATCGTTCAGTATGAATTTGGAAAGGCTGGTTTGGAATGTGCTGCTGGAATGCTCTAAACCTTTGTGTGTTTGGGGAAAGGGTTTGCTTCCCCTGCTGGTCTATAGTGCTGCCAAGGCATTGCTTGTTTGCAGTTCTTGGGAAGTGGAATTAAGGGTATTACAAAATTCCTTAATATATAGAATTTAGTGTGATGTGATATTATCCAGGAGCACTCTTGCCAAAGATCCAAGCCTTGTAAAAGGTTCACTCCAGAGCTGAGTCAAAATTTATCAGAAGGCTTTCTTTTCGGATGAAGGGTTTGGAGATTTTGGCCCCCCCCCCCATCAGCCCCTAGCTAAACAAAAAATAAATGTCTGCATTGCATAATGTTCTTCTAGAGTTTTCCACCTTTTTGTGTGGTTTGTCTTCCATAATCACTCCCTCTCATGATGGTAGGATTGCTCTGATAATCTATAAATGAAGCATAAAAAGAATGCTAGACTAACTAGAAGCAGACCAACCAAAATTTGAAAGCCTGGGAAAACAAGAATGGAAATTGCAAAAAAACAACAACAAAAAACCCCCAGGTTAAGTGTGGAAACAATTAAGATTAATCTGAAATAACTCCAATTAATGTTCGCAAATGCACAGTGTTTCTCTTTTTACCAAATAACACATTGAGGCTAATGATGACATATTTCAGTATACTAAAGGTAGCAATGAGCTCTCCTGGGTAAAGTAGAAAGAACTTTTGTGAATACAAAAATGAAAATGCTCTTCTTGGACTTGGCCATCACTGGCAAAAGTGCCATTATATAAGAGATGGTGAGCATGTCAACATAATAAATGGGTTCTTATAAGATATTCCAGATGAGTCCAAACAGAATTTCCTTTTATCAAGGTGTTAAAAAGCTCTAGCAATTTTATATTCATTTTCCAGAAAACAGGAGATAATATGTGGACAGTTTATCTCTATCTCCACTAATGTTTTTGCAAGATTTTAAAATAAAGGTTTTTGCTGCAGGAAGCAAAATTGCTTCCCTGTACCTCCCCATTTTCGTATTGTATTTTGTAAAACCTTTCCTCTCTAATAGGCAGCTTAAAATATTATTTTATTTCGTCCACTGAAACCAATTTATTTGTTTGGCTACCAAAGACCAGTGCACAGCATCACTACACTTCTGCTCTACGGCATGGCTCCACATTGGTTTCCCATCAAGCATGCATGCAAACACACAAAAGTTTATTTCCCCCAACTGTTCTCTTTGTAATAAATGACATATTTAAAGTCAAAGCACCTGGAAGGAGGCAAGAAGCCATTGTGGGCCCCTGATTGAAATTGGGACCATTGGTGTTAGATTGGAGCTATGCAGGGATGCCTTTTCTTCAAAGTGAAGGTGGCAAAGTGAAGAACATAAGATGAGCCTGTTGGATCAGGCCAGTGATCCAACAAGACCACCATTCTGTTCTCACAGTGGCCACCAAGATGCCTGAAGGAAACCCTCAAGCCCCAGAACAAGAATACTCTCTCCTCCTGTTGTTTCAGTTTGTTGTTGTTTAGTAGTTTAGTCGTGTCTGACTCTTTGTGACCCCATGGACCAGAGCACACCAGGCACTCCTGCCTTCCACTGCCTCCCGCAGTTTGGTCAAACTCATGCTGGTAGCTTCGCAAACACTATCCAACCATCTCGTCCTCTGTCGTCCCCTTCTCCTTGTGCCCCCCATCTTTCCCAACATCAAGGTCTTTTCCAGGGAGTCTTCTCTTCTCATGAGGTGGCCAAAGTATTGGAGCCTCAGCTTCACGATCTGTCCTTCCAGTGAGCACTCAGGGCTGATTTCCTTAAGAATGGATAGGTTTGATCTTCTTGCAGTCCATGGGACTCTCAAGAGTCTCCTCCAGCACCATAATTCAAAAGCATCCATTCTTCGGTGATCAGCCTTCTTTATGGTCCTGCTCTCACTTCCATACATCACTACTGGGAAAACCATAGCTTTAACTATACGGACCTTAGTTGGCAAGTGGTTAATTCAGCTTGTAGGTTTGGCCCTCAAATGGGCACACAACCTTAAAGGCTCTTTCTCGCTTTCTATCCTGCATTAAGAACACCAGGCTGTTGTCAGTCCCAGGCAAACTCGGGACTGACCTCACATGTAAGTTTTGTGCAGGCTCTACCCAGCAAAATGCTGTCCCATATAATTTCTCCATGACACCTGGATTTTATCATTGCCACAGAAAAATGAATTAATTAACAAAAGGAAACAATGCACCACGGAAATGGTCCATTTGGATGAAACGAGGGAGGTGTTTTAATGAGGATGACAACATGAGGATGCTGTGAAGAAAAAATGCATGCATGAGCAGTGCCATGTCTAAGGAAAACTGCTCCTGGAAATTATACATATTAAAATCATTCCAGCAATAGTAAAAAATAATAATTGGGTGAATATATTTGGTGTTTCAGAAATATAGGAATGGTGGATCCCAGTAAATAATTTATATGTCATTTTATATGCCGAATCATTTGCATTTCATATCTGAAATCTCTCCTGGTTAAAATACTCATACAAAGTATTGGATAAGAACATAAGGCAAGCCCTGCTGGATCAGGCCAATGCCCCCATGTAGGTCAGCATCCTGTTCTCACAGTGGTCAAGTAGATACCTCTGGAAAGTGTGCAAGAGGGGCAGGAGCGCAACAGCACTCACTACTGTTGGATACACCACTATACAGATTTTGGTCTGCTCCAGGGGCCACCCCCATTTGGTGCATCATCCCATCACTGCAGTTCCTTTGACTGCAGTTTACCAACATTGTGCCTATTTTTCAACCAATGCCACTCATCTGCATACCATGCACAACTCAAACCTTATGTAGTAGAGTTGTAGAGTTGGAGATACGGGGGTCCATAAATGACATTCACATAAAATGTGTATTTCTACAGGTGGAAAACCTGAGGAGAGATTCTGTGTATGCATATGGGTGTCACTGCTCCCTGCTGGAGTGAGATGGAACTGCTATCACCTGACAAAGGATTTCAGGAACTAGAACGTAGAATTGAGGTTTTATTCAGCACCATGGACAGGGACCAAAAGCTTCCTTGGGTTCCACATTGACACTACCGTTGTTTTGAGCAATACTAGTTTGCAGTGACCATTAGCAAACACAGAGGTGTAAAATCAGTCCCAGGGCTAATGCAGAACTTAGCTTTACCTACAGACACATTAAGAGGGGTATTTGAACAATTTTTATAAACTAGGTTTTGAATACTTGGGGCTTTGGGGCTACTTCTCACAAGGTCATTCTTGATCATAAAGGCTGATATGTTGCTCCAGGGGTCTTCAACACAGTGCCCACAGATTCACATGTGCCTGCAGTGGCATTTCCTTGTGCCAAAAGGTTCCTTCCTTCTTCTTTGAGCCTATTATCTCCAGGCACCAGGATGCGCAAGATCATCCCAGACAAGGCAAGGACCTCCGTTGCACTTCTTCTAAATCACCCTTCTCCTTCAAAAGTACCTGTGACTGATTCATTCTTTCACTCTCTCCCCACACACACACACACACACACACACACACACACACTTACTTTACACTGCAGATGAAATTAGTCTGTCATGAAGCTGACTCACAGTTTGTTGCCATGCATTGTATCTATTCTCATACACTCCTCCTTTGTTCACCAACTTTGGTCTGTTTTAGGAGAACTGGGTTGTCCACAAATGTCTGCAGCCTGGTGGAGAGGGGGGAACAGAGACACAAACCAAGCAGACTGCCACAAATGAACGTGGGCCTCATTTAAAATTGTATTATTTAACCTTTATTAGATTACTTCCGTGTAATAATCTAAAAATTGCATAAATCTTGGCATGATGCAGACAGAAATTTAATCTGTTCATCAACAAAGACAGTCACTCACCTATGATTTCTTTAATTGAGTCACAGGCCTAGCAGGTATCCTCCTTGCCCTACATGAGGAAGTTTCAAAAATGCAAAACTCCTCTCCACCTACAGTCAGTCTGAAATGGTCCAGTCCACAAACACCTTAATCACACAGAGAGCTTGTTGTTTAAACCAGGAGCAGGCAGTCTTCAGGCTTGTTGCATTAACCTCATTAACAAAAAAACAAAAACAAAAACCCCTAAAACTAAAACTCCAAGGTCTACCAACCGAAACTAGGTACAAAAGAGATAAATTAGAATTAAATAAGAATGTGACAGTGAGCACATTGTGTTCAGTACCTGAACTGAACAGTTCCTACACTGTTTTCACATAAAACTCCTGGCTAACTTTTTCATTTTAGCAGCCTGATTCAGGTGAGGAAGTAGTTGTTTTGTTGCAACTATTGATCAACATTTGGGAGTCAGAAATTCTGGCTGATCTACTTACCACAAATCAACCAGAGATCTACTGGTAGATCCCAGACTACCAGCTGCTCATCCCTGGTGTAAACCATCTTGAGACCACTGGTTTGGCCCTTCTGTCCCCCTGACAGAGCATTTGATGATAGCAGAAGTTTCATTTAGGAAAAGGTTTGATGTGCCTCAGGTGGCAATTGGTGATAGACACAAGTCATGCTGTATTAGTACTTCCTCTAGAGTTTTGATAGGGACAGATCTGGTTCTTTGGAAGGCATTTCTGATGAGTCACCACTTCACTGCAGGTACAATGCAGGCAGGGATGCAGATTATCATGCCGGCCAGAACTTGGTCTGGAAGAAAGAAGAATGGGAAAGTGCCACAATGAAGAGGTACTGAGGAGGGTCACAGAATCAGGTTGAGAAAATAACTCTCAGAGATGGTCTCATCAGAGTGCCATGGTGAGGTACGGCAGCTGTTATGCCACAGCCAAGCTTCCCTGGTACAAGCAAAAAACACTCAGACATCTGTCGAGGGAAGGTGCATGCTTGCAATGTAATTAGTGGTTGTTAACCAAATTATCTTCTCAGATTCTATCCTAGCAATTTTTAATGATCCAGTGCCAAGCTGTGTGGATTTCTTTCCGTGTCCGCTTTTGCAAAATGCATTTTACAGCGTCATCTCGGCTCGTATCCATGCCTCTCGTCCGGAGGGAATGTAGGGTTTGACAAAGGGGAAACTGGGTACCTCTGGAGAGATTGATTTTCACATGCACACCCTTCCCAGACTGTGACATGAGGGCAAATGATAAGTTACTGCTCTCTCCAGGAACTTTATTAGCATTGTAATGGGTGGGTGAAGGGTGAACTGCAGTGGTCTGACAGCATCGCCATCGACACAATGTATGACCAGGGTTACATTTCCATAGCAAAAGCATCCATACTGAAAAGGAGATGGAGAGGAGGGGGGTGGCTCGGCATTTGGGAGAACTGGGGAAACAATGAAAGCGGGGTCTTCTCTGAAGGCGTTTGGCCCTTGGATGTGAACAAATAAACAAAAACCCCTTTTCTTGTTGCCTTTATTTTTGTGCATCAAAGGGGTGAGGAGGGGGTGGGTGGAAGAGGGGGCGGTGGTTGTTGTTGTCATGGTAGGCACCGGGCTTTTCCACTGCAGTATTGTATTCAATATTCCAATCACCTTGCAAGTCAAGAAGGCTCGTGGAGCTTGCGGTAGTGTCAGAGTGAAAAACGAGCCATGGCGTCACGCTTGGCCAGCCGCTGGCTGTCGGTTGCAGATTGAGTGCCACGCTGCGGCGTGTTTGGTTTCATATCAACCATTTCGGTTGCAGCATTTGGAAAGGCACGCTTCTCCCTTTCTTTCCTTCTCCAGGAGAAAAATCCAATGACAAAAGATTGGGGACAGGGGGGAGGCGGACGAGTGTCACCCCCTTGTTCCAGCACCTTGGCTTCTGCCTGCGAGTTGTCAGTCATTTGCGCCGAAGGAGGAAGATGAGGTCTGAGACTGAATGGTGGGTTTTGCTTCCTTCTCCCCTCTCCCCCCTCCCCCCTCCCCACCAACCAACGGCACTTGACCCCACCCATCCCAGTCTTTAATATCGATTACTATTTTTATTCTTCTCCTTTCCATTTTTATTTATTGAGTTCCGAGGTGATGGCGACCGATGGGGTTGCGGGGAAGGGAAGATCATTCTGGAAGCAGCACAGCCACGAGGGAGCCACAGACTCTCCTGAGTGCTGTTAAACAAAGCACATCGTGTATTTTTACAGATAGCGCAAGCCAGGCAACCATGATATTTGCCTGCCGGAACTGTTCCGTATGGTCACGGCGCAACCTATTTCCTCACCTCTGCACAAAATCAATCAAAGAAGCAAAGACACTTTCACGATCTGTAGGTGTTTGTGAATTCCGAGGTAGGGACTGGTGAAATATGAGAGTGTGGGAGCAATGCCTTGAGGGAGGACCAATGCTGGAAAATGATGTACAAGTACTTCACACTTTATATATTTCATGTGGAATTCTCAATAGCTCCTGTGACTGGGCTGCTCCCCAATTCTGCACCCCCAGCTTGTAATACATTTCTCCAAAGTGTTGTCTAAACACTGGTGGTTGGTTGACACACACGTATATATCACTTGATTTTTCAGTGCTTTATTATCACATGCTTAATGGCTGGCTTCTACTAAATAGGATTTTTATTTTATTTTTTGTATTGTGCAGATATATATTAAAGATACATAGCTACTAATGTCTTCTTCATTAGACGAGCCAAGTTGGATCAGGACAGAGCAATGGCCCATCCAGTTCAGCGGCCTCTTTCCCACAATAACCACCCTAATATTCCTGGAAAGTCCACAGGAAAGGTATGAACATCTCTTTTTGCCCCTACCCCACACTACCCAGGCACTGGGATCCAGAGGTCCACTGTGATTCCACTAGGCTACCATGGAAAAATATTCATGAACAGACCTATTCTCTATGAGTTTGTTGGACACACACACACACACACACACACTCCCAAGCTACATCTTGGTGCAGATTTTGTATGCTGCTTTTTATGCATTGTGTGGAGAAGTATTTTGATTCACTTGTCCTCAGTTTATGCTGATCAATTTTACCTCAGAAGCACAGCTTCCGTAGAAGTCAGGAGCTCCTTTACAGAAGTATGGCTGACACGTCCTCGGCAAAACTTGCTCTTTTCAGTGGTGCAGCCAGGTAATTTTAGAACCAGGCTTAGGAAGCAATACTAAATATGGGAAGCCAATGTCATTTATGTAGGCTTAAGAAAAAAATGCCAGATGTAAACCTCATTCAGGAGAAAGGCTACTGCCAGTGGAGCTGGCCCAAGCCCGGCAGAGGGAAAACTTACCTTTAAAAGAGAGTTTGACCTACATCACCCTTTTTGCCTTGTAAGTTCTGCTGGGTTGCCAGGTCATGTGACTGAACTGGACAGAATCAGGATCCAGTGCTCTCTCTAGCAAGTTTACAGGAAACCGTTGACCTGAGTCCCTTCATACGCCTATGCAGTCAAACCATGAATTGTTGGTTTGACTGCATTAAACATCTCACAAAAAAAGTTTTCCTACTGAATTGGAGCAAACAGCAATCAGGTTTTTCTGCAGATTGCTATTTGCTCTGAAACTGGTTTGCTGGTAAAACACAGGCTTTCTGGGGGAAAGCACAGAGACCAACCAACCAACCAACCAACAAGCATTTGGACATGGAGCCTTAAGGTGCAGACCTATGTCTGGAAAGCACAGCAAAAATGAAGTCTAGATGTGCCCAAAGAGGCTCTTACCAATTGGCTTAGTGAGAAGGAAAATATTTGAGTTTTTAAAAAGCTCTTGGGTGCATGCCATGTGCAGATGCTGACTTGTTAATTTTTAATTTGTCAGTTAGCCCTAGAATTTCTTTCCTTTTCACCTCCATTTTATTTAGCTCAACAGATGCCTTTCCTGAAAAAAAGTGGTGCAGGCATGGGCATTTGCCCAACATCTTACACACTGAAGACTCAATACACTTCTCGGCCATCTTCCCATCCTCCTGTAGCAGTCCTTCCACACTTCTGCCACCCAACATTATCTCAGCTTTAAGATACTCCGCAATTCCCAACTCATTTACCAATGACTCATACAATGGAACTTTGTATTTCCTAGGGATTCACCAGGCTGAACCACCCAAGCCCAGAAACCATTTTGTCATGTGTTGCCTCCAACACCCCAGCATGGTAGCTTAGCAACCGACTTCCAAGTCTTCTGAAAGTGGTAGTGAAGATCCGCCGCTCGGGAAACCCGAATGCATGGAGTGACAAACCAGTCCTCAAAGCTCACTCCATTTCCAGGTATAGATACCATAATGACTGAAGCTTGACAAAGACTGTGTTTGTGTTTCCCTTTTAAGGGAAAATTAAGATTGAAGCTGGGAGAATCATTAACCCTCTTTTCATTTCTTCTATTGAGTGATGAGGGTATGAGCTTGCTGTACCCATGTAGGCTTCCCATGCAATTTAGTACCCTGATCTTCCAGGGTTCCAAATTACAGAAGGAGCAAGGAGCAAAAACGACAGAAGGAACATAGTGTAGAGGTTCCAACCCAATGCATATAAGGCAATGAAGCTAGTGATGGTGACCTAAAGGAGACAGTGAGGTCAATAGGTCCATCTCCCTCACTGCGTGAGGCTTTGGTGACTGAGGAGGGCTACAGTTACTTCTGAATCCATGATACAGGTTTTGCCCCTGTGCTTCAGAGGCTACATTTTTATTTGGAATTGGGTGTGGGGAGAATTACTTTCTCATCTGTGATCCCTGCTCTAATGTAGATTCTGAATTTGCTCAGTATTGGGTGTGCAACTGATGCAGTGACCTTCACATGGTGTCAGTAAAAAAAAAATACTACTGGAGAAATACCATTTTGCAGTTCCATTTTTCAATCTTGAGCTGTAGATACTATATATACAGGTGCCGAAGGCAATTTTGGTTGTGCAAAGATGCATTCAAGATAATCAGTTCTTCACTTTAACTAAAGGCTTCTATGTTTTCATAGAAGTGTGATTCACTCACATTCACCCTGCATCATGGGTTTTATAGTTTTAAGACTGTATTAACATCCTTACAGATTTGTGATTTTCCTCATGAAACTATAGATGGATTTGAATGAAACATTTAAATGTGATTTTTTAAAAAATAAAGGTTTTGTTCCTCAATATGCATCTCATGGTGGAAATAAAGACGATCTGGAAGAAAAGAGAATATGTTTAGAATACAAATTGTTTAAATAGTGGTTTAAACAAGTTTAAGAATGTATGAACTAAAAAAAAAGCCTTCTGAAATATCAAAAGAATGAAGGAAACTTTAAAATATATAATACTCACCTATGCAGATCAGATCTTTTGAAGCCATGGACATTCCCATTTTCATTTCAGAATTGGGACTTGGCAGAATCTAAATATCCAATCCAACCTCCTCACCTCCCCCTTTTAAGAAGCTAATACAAAGCTTTCACAAGCACTTAATTTACTGTAGTGCCTGCCCACCCAGATGGCATGACGGAGTGAATACAGTTTCAGGGTCCCTGATACATAGCATAACTTTGCAGAAAATGTTTGCTAACAGCTGCATAACTGTCTTCAGGGCCTTGTTTGATTAAACCACTAACAGATTGCAGTACTGAGATGTGGTGCCACACAAACAAATTTGAACAATCATTAAAAAAAATCTACCACCAAGGTTAGCATCTTCTCATGCTTGTTACTCCACGAACAGTAGCTCCATCGTAAAACAAGCAATCCTAGGCCAGTGAAGGCAAAATAACTCAATGTTGATCAAAGGGCTAGGGGTTTCAGACACAGCAAAATGGGCAGCTATGCATTTAGGAAAGGTATCCCTAACTTATGCTGATGACGTCTGAAAGTATATAAGAAAGGACTGCAAATGGTACTATGTAACAGCACCATCTGGTGATGTGTTCTGTGAAAATAGCAATGCAGAAAGAACCTCACTGGTCTCCAAAAAAGGGTATAGTTCCCACACAAACAATTCTTCCATTTCTTTGTTGCTATTATGTTGCCTGAAGTAGCAGGCCATCCTTATTCTTCATTCCATTTCCTACTTATGCTTATATAAGGCAGACCTGGACAAATAGTGACCCACCATGCTGAAAACAGCCACCAGGACCGTGCATAATGGCAAACTAGGATCTTGGTAAATCTCCTGGCTTTGCTCCTTCTTCTTCTTCTTCTTCTTCTTCTTCTTCTTCTTCTTCTTCTTCTTCACCACTCATAGCCGAGTAAGATTGTCTTCCATAAACACGGTTTATGGAATTGCCTTCCATAAACATGGTTTAACAGTGAGTCCGTATGTGACTGTGGAGGCCCCCCACAGTGGGGACATAGGTTTTGGGGCAGGAGTTGATCATGGTGAGGGTTTGCCAAATGTGCCTTCCTCTTAAGAGAGAATGTAAAAGCTGTAGCTCAGTGGTATAGAGTCTGCTTTGCATGCAGAAGGTCCCAGATTCAGTCCCTGGTATCTCCAGCAGGGCTGGGAAAGACCCAGCAATGATATTTGAGAGAGAGCCATCCTTCCAACACCTGCACATCACTTCTGCTTACATGGATGGCTTTGCGGTTAAGTTGTGGCTACGTGGGTGCAGTAGCAGAACCACCACCACCAATCCAGCACCCCCACTAGTGCAACCATGTGGTCCCAACTTTGCCCAGTTTCATCCAGCTAAGCAGAAGTGTCTCAAGGTCTGGACAGCAGCTCCATAGCTTTGCCCCACCCCAGGTACCTTTCCTGGAGAAATCCTTGACTGGATGCTTGAAGGACCACTGCCAGTGAGTGTAGACAATACTGAGCTATATGAACTAGTAACCTGACCTGGTATATAAGGCAGTTTCCTATCATAAAAATAAAAAACTGTCAGGCCTATGGCTGCCTCCAAAGGACACACATTCACCAGGGGGTTCAAGTCCTACAAAAGGTCCATTACTCCACTGCTGATCTCATTTTGTATGAGGGATCCAAAAAGTCCAGAGTAGTCTATGTTTGGGCATCCTGCCTCTTCCACATTATTGGAATGTGAGTGTGCATGACACCTCTCCCAATTATGAAGCGGAACATCACACATTGCCTGTGATATGGTGGCCTGCAAATTTCTGTTCCTTTATGTAAGGTCTTGCTCAAGGATGCTCTTGAGCAAAGCCACCCAACCAGAAATTATGAAGCCATAACCAACCATTTGTCCATTCAGTGTTGAACAAGGACCTAATTCCACTCTCTCTCCACCTCACCTCCACTTCCTCTGCTGAGCCAAAGAAGGAAATTTTGCTGCCCTTTGTTTTCTATAATCTCTCCCCCCCTTGGAACAAATGAGTGTAGTGAACCAAAGACACAAACTCAAATTAGTAACATGCCAAGAGCATGCCCGTGGGCTGGAATGAGCGCAGTAGACGGAAGCGAGAAGGAATATCATTCAACAGACGATGGCGCTTCAGTCAAAAGCTTAATTCCACATGCTTCTGAGGTGCCTCTGTGATACCCTCTGTACCAATGATGAGGCCTCCAAGCTGGATCTGTGTCTGCAATATCTTCCTCTATACAGCTGTGTAGGAGATGAATGTAGGAATACTAAACAGACCTTCAAGAGGAAAGTTAATAATAATTGGGGGAGGCCACTAACCCTACTGGATCCAATCTCACTGAGGCACTGGCATAGCGTGACCAGGGCTGTGGGGACAGCGGCCCTAGGCGCATTATTCTGAGGGTGTGAGAGGGTGCAACCAGGCGTCCCCATGACAGGTGCCCTGCAGGGAGGAGTGCTGCGCCAGTGCTGGGACTCTGGGGCTGGGACCACGCTTCGTTCTAGAGAGAGAGCAGAGTGCAACTCTCAGGTCAAATTTAATTTTTATCCCACTCTTTCTCCAAAGAGCTCAGGATAGGCTACATGTTCTCTGCCTAACCTGCCTCATAGGACTGTACAACAACCCTGTGAGGCAGGCTTGTAAATGGCCCAGCTTTTCCCAGTGACCCTTGTGACTGAGCAGAGATCTGAAGCCTGATCTCCCTTAGTCTAACCCAACATCCTAACCACTGGCTCATATTTTATGCTTTCACACACTGTGGATTGCATCCAACTCTGCCATTGCATGAGCAGAGGAGATGTCCACTCATAGAATCATAGAGTTGGAAGGGACTCCAAGGATCATCTAGTGCAACCCCCTGCAATGCGGGAATCTCAGCAAAAGCATCCATGGCACATGGCCATCCAACCTCTGCTTAGAAACCTCCAAGGAAGGAGAGTCCAGTAGGACTTCCCATTCCTTCCCTCCCGCCTACAGCCCCCTGCACACCCTCAAAATCTCCTCTGGATGGGTTGGGGAACCTATGCACTGTAAGATTTGGGGGTGCATGCGGGGCTGCAGGATGCAAGGGAAGGAATCCTCATGATTCTTGCTGTGTAAGTGTAGATATTTTTGCATAACACTGGATGCAACCCTAAGAATATTATCTGACATTCCACGACCTGCTAACTCAGTTAAGAGAGATGCTTTTGGACAGTGTCTAAATCTGAAATTGGAACCCAGCTTTGAACATAGGGTTGCTATGGGCCTGTTGTACATACTACACACAACATAAGGAAGCTACCCTGAATCACTCCATGCAGGGGCTGTACGAAGCAAACTGCATTTCATGCTGTAGTACAACTCCTTGTGGGTTCCTTAGTGTCTACGTCAGGGGTCAGCAAACTTTTTCAGCAGGGGGCCAGTCAACTTTCCCTCAGATCTTGTGGCGGGCTGGATTATATTTTGGAAAAAAATATGAACGAATTCCTATGCCCCACAAATAACCCAGACATGCATTTTAAATAAAAGCACACATTCTACTCATGTAAAAACACACTGATTCCTGGACTGTCCATGGGCCAGACTGAGAAGGTGATTGGGCCGGATCTGGCCCCCGGGCCTTAGTTTGCCTACCCATGGTCTATGTAATATCACTTGCTATACAACAAACAAGGTATTCACTTGTTAACCATCTTGATTGTTCCTTAATGAATTTTTATTCGTATGCCTACAGTTGGGCTGTAACTGCATAGCACAGCTTTCCTCTTGACAGAACAGATGGAGGCAGGACAGTCCTGGGGCCCAGTGTGCTTGCCTCCAGCTGGAATGGTATACGATGTGACCACATGGTTGTCTACAGCTACTTGGCATCATCTTCTGTAAAGCTCTTGCGTCTGCCATTGCCATTGCAGCCCGTCTCAATGGCACAAGTTGGGCTCTGGGCCAGGAAGGGGATTTAGGAAGCCCTTTATAAATAAATACCCTTCCAGGGAAAACAAGCA